CGAATACCGTAGGCAGTGTTCGAAATACCTGCCTGCCCGACCGTCCGAGACGGGTTGATTTCAACTCGGGCTGCCAGATTTTTAAATCCCCCTGCCCGACGGTCGGGTTATATGTCATATGTGAAACTATTCTAAATATTTCCCGATGATAAGCATTAATTCACATGTAAAGATGAATGATAAAATGTAACCAAAAAGAAACCCCGTTAGCTTATCCTGAGAAACATATGATTACAGTGGGCAGGCAGGTTTTGGTCAGGGCTGGCAAATATTTCAGCTAGCCAGTCCTGTGGTCTGGCTGAAATTTTTGGGAGTTTCATACCCTGCATATATGGGATTACTTTTAAAAATGTGAAGTTTTTAATTTGACTCAGTATACACGACTCGCTTCATTATGGATTTTCCTCCCACAAGCCATGATATAACTTAAACCGCTGTTGAAAAGTGGTGTAAAACCTCATACATAAAAATATAACATATATTTAATGCATTGTGAATTTAATCAAGCTGACGAAATATTTTCTTAAACCCAATGAAGTATATTTGTCTTTTCATTCCAACTGTAAAACACCAAATGAATAAATATTACTCAATTTTTTAGTTATGTCGAATAAGTTGATTTGGGAGAAATATCATCTGACCTAGTCAAAAATGTGGATTCATAGAGTTTGCTTTCAACAGAGTTTCCTTATGACTGTGGGAAAATAATGTATACGCAGTATTTCAGTGTTACATTCGGCGTTTCAACACAAACGTGGGGGAGGGTCTAACATGTTGAGCAAGTAGATGATTTCCACGATTAGGAGGTCAAAGGCCTACAGGACAATAAGGTGAACATCCAACACAACAGTAACACTCAGGCCAATATTCCTCCGATAATGGAACTTCATCAAGACACAAGGTTAACTATTTATATAATGGATATTTACATTTTTATTTACATATTTTGCCATTTGAAGTTACATTGAACACTTACCTTCTGATCGAAGGTTGGATTGGCTTGCTGAAGGAAATCGGAAACACCCAAAGGTCCTCGGAGCATATGTGCAGGTTGCTCCTACGCTATTATACCCATCATTGTACCATTTTGTAGAGGGTGGAAAATTATCATTGAAACAAATGTGATTATGTTGGGGGCTTTGGCTCGATTGTGTCTCTTAATTCTGTTGACAATTCTGTTTTGCATTTTATCCCTCATTTAGCTTGAATATTGCTGAGTGTGGCTTTAAACAGCAAAGAAACAAAACAAAACTGTTTCTATAATTTCTATATGTGTTTGGTTATATATGCAAGTTACACGTGTCTAAATTTCTTTTTAGGAAAATTTTGAGAAGACACTTATAAATTATTTCACACATAAAAGACATAAACGCAAATTTAAATTGAGGCTCGTGTAATATTCTACTTAATACCACAGATGTTTGTGTGTTTGTTTTTTGTTTAACGCCGCACTCAGCAATATTCCCGCTATGTGACAGCGGTCTGTAAATCATCGAGTCTTCACCAGACAATCCTGTGATTGACATTATGAGCATCAATCTACGCATTTGGGATACGATGACATTTTCATCAACCATGTCAACAAGCATGACCACCCGACCCCGTTAGTCGCCTCTTTCGACAAGCAGCCACAGATGTAATGTGACGAAAAAAGTGACATCAGACATCATTCTTTTCACTGATGTGTCAAATTTGGAAATTCCACAAATTCTGCCATAACTTTTTGAAAGCTTTACAGATGCCTTGAATGTTGTACCTTGATCAAACAGCCTCTGAGCAATGGCACTCTTTGAAATCTTGGTAGAAGGAGCATGCTCGGTTGTACTTCAAACGTTGTGAAATTTTGACACCAAGGGCTGGAGCTGCGGACGTATTGCTCGGTTTATTTTTATTCACCCAATCTGATTGGCTGGCTGAGACCGGAGAGCTGTGTCATCGCGTTTTGATTGGCTGTCTAAAAATAATTGACGGCACTATTTTCGGATCGGGCATACCCCGTGTCGTCTCGTTCAGGAAATCCCTAACTGTCAAAACATTACCGTTGTGACGATGTTTCCATCTCCGAATGTTGGTGACCGAGAGACAATTTGTCGGGGTGGAAGGGATGTGATATGTGGAGGTATATCAGAGAATTTCGGCTTCCCAATGTACGAGATTCAGTTGCAGAATGAGAAGACGGTAACCGAAGCGAGATACCGCTTCGATATTACCGGACCAGGTGAGCCACTCTGGTAGATTCTTTACTGGGCGTTTTCAAGACTACGAAAACGGCTAAAGAAACCGTTAATTATTTCTTGTAAAAATACTGATAAAATAGTGAAACATATCATATTGTTTTTTGGTATTTAAAAAAAATAGCCATCAATCATATAAGAAATGTCACGTTATTTCGAAGTGTTGATCTAGATTAAAATAATCGAGACTTATATTTCATATTTCAAGAAAATAACCACCTTTGATATTTTTTATCAAAAGACATACTCAATTGTTATGCATTAAACGATCAACTTTGCCGGACCGTACATCTCACGACCATGATGTTTTGCAACCACAGCCGTTGTTTCCCCTTTCAACAGTTGGAGTTTATCCAGATCAATATAATTAACCAGGGAAACACAGAACAACGCCCCTCGCGATATATTTGACGTACAACCTAAAACTATCAAATCTGTCAGACAAGGTGACAAAACAGCTAAGAGAAGGCGATTTGCCACCCACAGTGAACGGGCCCCGCAGAACTTACGTGCGATGAGGGCGTAGCCAGGGCCACATATATTTTACTGCCCTTCAAAAAGCAGACAATAATTTCTCTCTCTCTCTCTCTCTCTCTCTCTCTCTCTCTCTCACACACACACACACACACACACACACACACACACACACACACACACACACACACTCACTCACTCACTCACTCACTCACTCACCTTGATCTCTGGATGTGTTAACGTATTAATCTTTACCTCTCCAAGGCGGTCTGTTTAGTGGCCAATTATATGTCACGGTGTCACTGTACAGGTGACAGGACAGGACAAACGGTAGACAAACAACACTAAAGTGCGTGAATGATTTATTGCAGTATGACATGGAGGAGTCTGAGTTACATGTTCTATCGGGGCAGAGTATTCCTGTATACAATAATGCCTAGGAAAGACATGTTCTAATGTTGCATAGTTCTGTATCAAGACACTACCAAGTGTCCAGCCAATACTCATTACAGCCCACACGTCCGTATATTTCAGTAATAACCAAGCATTAAACCAATGCCACAGTTCAAAGTACCTGTGTTAATTTATTACTTTAAATATGTCAAATGCAGTTAAGACCTACACATGGTTAAAGCCTTTATGGTTCAAGCTACTATCGCGACTTAAATGCCAATATATGTACTACTCAAAACAAGTTATAGAACCCCCACGACCGGATGGCTGTGTGCCATGATGATAGATTAACTATAATCCTGTGAAACAAACGGGTGTTCTGTAACTTCTTGTGAGTAGTATACATAATTAGAATCTTTAAATATGGATCCGGGTCCTTAAACATTTTAAAAATTTAATTCGGTGTCCAGAAAACTTCCAAAATTCACATAATCATCTCGATGTCAGTTTGCTGAGAGGTTGTCGGACGAAACATACATTATGGTCACAAACTTCTTTCTGAGCAATCTTGACTGCGATCAGACAGTAATTTAACTTGGAAACTCAGTGAACATTCCCCACAAGCAAACTATTCGTTAAAGTTAAATCAGTGCGCCAAACTTATATAGCACAGTTCACAGGATAACTGGATAACAACAGTTTCCTCCTTCAAAGCGTCGACAGGAACTTCTATAATACAATATTCTCGACCAAAGTGACATGTCCTTTGTCTAACTTTGTATCCAGACATAACGATGGGCTGAACTGCCCTCGTCCAGTCATACCATATTTCTCCCTCTCCAATTCATTTTCCGTCCCCGTTTTCTATAAGATAACTTGCCCTCATAAAGTAATACAAATTTCCAAGTAAGCTACTAAAGCACACAGCAACAGAAGGTTGATCGGCCCACACCAATCAATTACCAAGCCAACTCACACTCCAATCACCCCAACAGCTTGCTTAACTCAGTCAAGCATGACGCCATCCACCTCACCTGAACCCCTTGTGAACCACACAAATATAAAACGTCACTCATAACAATATCATGAAAATATTAATACGTAATAATATTGATACGTGGAATATGCATGGGCTACCAGGTAACTTATGGGTAGAAAGTAACCAGTATCACACGTCGTATGATCGATTAATAGGATCGGTCGGTTACAATGTATAATCTGTATGACGGAGTAATCATGGCCCAAGTGTATGATTTGCCCGGCCAGTCTGTCATCTGCATGCTGCCTTGATGTACAATGTAGCTTGAAACAGCCGTCAAACATTCACTCCATAACGGAGCAATCACGTGACCTACGTTACGTACGGTATTTGCGATGGCAGGCTCTGGGATCGATACCATCAACACAAAAATGTTATCATTGAGTTCTCCATTTATCTTGAGGTGAAATGTTTGTCCGTTACCAACTCACTCGAGACTTTCGTACAAGAGTAACGAAGTCGATTTAATTGAGAAGCAATGTTTCACGCGGATGATAGTTGAGATATTCATCATGTTATGTTATTCATACACGTCGGATATCAATAATCAGGATAATATTATCCTCTACCCCCCAACTCTGGTGTGTACACATTGTCATTCATTCATTCATTCGCTTGAGTCAATGCCTTGTGCGTGAAGGAGTTTCCATTAGTGTTTGACTATTGGTCTGAATGTAAACAATGGTTTGATGAATAACAAAAGCCAAAGCATTTGATTGACGTATCGACGCTCAATATTCATTTATAGTTTCATCTTATTTGTACAATTATTTACCACGACTGAACAATGACAGTAGTTAAAACGGCCTTTCCATATATGGTGGTGCTCTAACACCCACAAGCCACAAGTGAAATGTAGATGTTAGGTCATAAAAAGCTGGAGATCAGTCGCTCAGTACCATCAACGGTGACGTAGAAAGATGAAGCTCCCTTGTGTCCTGGTGCTGTTGACTGTGTGTAGATCGGCCACAGGAAGTATTGCAGAGATGAAGAGGCTGTACAGCGACCTGTTTGGAAACTACAGCACCAGATACAGACCCGTGTACAACCAGAGTCACCATATTGACGTTTACAGTAGTTTCACCCTGGTTGCCATAACTGAAGTAGATCAGGTTCGGCAGATCCTCCACAGCAACGTCTGGATGAATCTGACATGGCGGGACGAGTTTTTAACCTGGAAGCCTGAGAATTATAACGGAATTAGGTTCATTCATCCTCCACCGACTGACATTTGGAGACCGAAACTCATTGCACCAGTGTCCCTGGAGGGTCGGGACATCTTCAAAGACGCCGTATCCGCCATCACAGTTTCCAGCGACGGCACAACATCTTGGTTTCCAGGGACAAACTTACTTACTGATTGTAAGTTAGATCTGACGTTATTTCCATTTGATGTTCAGACATGCGAGTTCCGATTTCTCCCCGTCAGCTATGATTCAAAAGAGGTAAAGATGATCTCAGCGTTGCAGACCGCAAACACCCAATCGTTTACAGCCAACGGAGAATGGATTCTTCCTAGTTCCAGAGCATACACACTTGAAAATCGCTTCGACGATTTGAACTTATCCTTCTTTAACGTTGAGATTGACCTTGAGCGGCGTCCTACGTTCTTTGTCCTCAATGTCTTACTCCCTGTGGTGGGACTTTCTTTCCTCAACATGTTTGTGTTTGCACTTCCGTGTGACAGTGGCGAGAAGGTTTCGTATGCCATCACGTGCCTTCTCTCTCTAACTGTATTCATGAGCATCGTGAGTGGACTACTTCCCAAAACGTCCGACAATATCCCGCTGGTCACCGTGTACATGACAAGTCTCCTCGTTATCAGCGTTCTGTCCGTTGTCGCCACCATCTTCATCGTCATGAGAGAACCTACGAAGATCAACAAAAAGCCACAGTCGACATTGTTTGTGATACCGCGTTTTTGGTCGCTATCATTTCGTGGAAGTAAATGCAAGGTTATGGAGGAGACCCATCAGGAAATGAATACCGGTGGTTTGGCTAACCGGAACCCCACTGGGGAGGTGAAGGAAAGTCGGGGTGGTTCTGGTGGGTATCACATAACAACTGACTCTCTGTGTATGGTTATATTCATGGCTCTTTGGTTGTCTGTTTCCATGGGATTCCTCATCAACATAGCACGATAAAGTAATTATGCTAATGTAAAATCTCTTCTGCAACCCGAATTATACACAGCAGTACTCAGAGGCAAACGATTAGTTAGAGCAATGTGTAAATTTGGAATATCACTTCACAACTTTCGAGTCAACATTATTCGCAAAAGGTCATTGTTAAATATACCTCATTCATAATCTATATGTAAAGAATGTGAGTTAAATTTAGTAGAGGATGAAAACCATGTCTTTTTTGTATGTACGAAATATATTCATTTGAGAAATACTTTTTTTTACCTCACTACAGAAATATTATATAGGCAATATTACGTTTACAAATTTATTTAAATCATGTGATATTACAGTACTACGCTTGACAGCTTTATATTTATGTAAATTATTTAAAATGAGATTGACAGAGATGTAACAATCTGGACATGTGACCTAATTGAATTGTCAAAGTAAATGCCTTCATGAAACTCCGTCAGTGTGTTAACTCTTCAACTACATGTAACTGTTGTACTGAATTATCATTCAAGTGTATTCTGGTGGATCATCACACTGCTTCTGGTCATGTCTACATTTTTTGGAAGGAGGCGATACACACACTTGCAGCGAAAAAGAAACTGTTCAACTGATTCAAAGCTGAGAGTTCCTCAGTCGTTATGGATACTTCTTCGAGTTCGTGCACGTCTATGTAACTATATATGACGTTTATATTGTATTCAGAGGCGAATGTAAACATTAACTGAACATTAACTGAGGCCTTTCAAATGTAAGAGAGTTACACAAAAGTCAATCGTCTAGAATTGTTCTGCATATAAAGAGAAGAGGATTTTATTTATTTTGTTCATCTCTTGGATTTGATGATTGTAAGCGCGTGACAGTCATTGGCCTTGGAGAATCAATAATTGATAACTTTCCGTATCTTATAACACACTTCGCACAGCTTAGTTTAGCATTTTCTACATGTTGTATAATCGGAGTTGAAATGGATTGTTTTTAAAACAAGATGAATGTTTCTGTCGTCGCTATTGAACAACCAATAATTGGGCTACTCTCGGACATGTTTTTATAGTGATTACATCTGAGGCAAGGAGACAAAATGCGGGAAGAAGTCCGTTATGTTTGTATTATATACCATATTGGCCGGTTCTTCCTTCTTCTTCAGTTGAATTTCGCCAGATCAGGAACATCGTGAGTAAGTGAGTTTGGTTTAACGCGGCTTTTAACAGTATTCCAGTTATATGACGGCGTGTCAGCTTAATGTGAGAGGAAAGCCCGAAGTGATGCAGGTCTCAGACGATTACCACTTCGGTGAAACCCACGAGCACGGGTATGGTGCTGACAAACCTAGAAACATAATCGAACCGGGATTCGAACCCATAATCACAGGTTTCTGGCGTGCCCAAGGGACTCGGGAACATAGGATTCTATAAATAATATCATAATTCGTTGCATGTATCGTATTAACATTTGGAATGGCGTGTCTACATTGTTTTAAATCACATTCGCAGAGAAAAAGAACCAATAAAAAATGCCGCCCATACAATGCATACCGTTTATTTCTAGATTTTGAGTTAAAGACGATATATTATGTTCTTCCCTCACGTAATGACGTTTACAGAGAAGAAAGTGGTGTTAATTGTTATTGGTTATTAATTTTGACCATGAGAACATTATTCATCGTAAACTCTTATATGGGTTCGAACACATGGGTAAATTTTCATTTCTTAAGAACAATACTAATAAAGTTTCAATTTGTCAGTCTGGGTGTTAATATCCATCACCGTAATACAGATAGAAGACACAGAGATGCAATTCTGAATGCCGCAATTACTTGCCTCATTTGACTGGCTGAGTACAGTTTGAAATGTCAATGACGGAGACAGTAAGTTTGTCTAAGGTATTCTGCGCGAAGGTATACTGTGAAAGACAGTGAGGCAATATCGACATGTTGTAAAATTATTGTTGGCAGGGATATCGGTCTGAGTGTCAACATGGGTAGCTGCAAGACTAACAAAAGCTAAAGCATATTAATGACGTACAAAAGCTCAATACGTATTGATTCATTGACAACCCTTGATATTTGTGGACTTATTCACCCAAACCGAACAAACACAACTGCTAAATAGCTCTCTCCGTAGATGGTGGTTCTGCAACAACAACAAAACTATCCAAAACCAATCTAATCAGTCGCTCAGTGCCATCATCTGTGTACCACAGACATTAAGGTGCCAATTTTGGAAAACAATCACGCAGGGGACTAGGTAAGCTGTGAAGGATCACATACATGTACAGTAAACTACGGTTAAAACGAACTCAAAGGGACTACTATTTTTAGTTCGTTATAACCGTAGTTCGTTATAAGCATATATACAGCATAACTACAGCAAATTGTCGGGACTAAAAAGTAAGTTCGTTATATCCGTCAGTTTGTTATAAACATGTTCGTTATAACCGTAGTTTACTGAAGATGGGATGTGAGATCACATAGTTGCGACTAGTGGGTCATGGTAATCTCTTTGATGACTTGTATGCTTAGTTTTGTCAGTTTCAAAGCTACGGTTATAACGAACACAAGGGGGCCACTAATTTTAGTTCGGTATAACCGTAGTTCGTTTTAAGCATATTACAGCATAGATACAGCAGTGGCTGGGACAAAAAATAAGTTCGTCATATCCGTCAGTTCGTTATAAATGTGTTCGTTATAAACGTAGTTTACTGTATATGTAACACGTCAGCATAACACAACAACCTAGGTGAGCAAGGTTCAATATTTCTGATATACCCTCGAACCACCAGCTGCTGCCCATCGTCATTGTAGAATGTGTCAGAAGTTTTCTCATAATTACAAATGTGAAATGTTTGTACATGCACTAGACTCTTTCAGTTTACAATATTTTCAGACATAATAATACTCCAAGACGCCATGCAACGGTGTGTGCACAGTGTGTTAGCGAGAATTAACAACAAAGGACATCAATCAGAGCAGAACAAATACAAATTAATATTAATTTGTCCTTGCATTATCTTCTTCACATTAACGCAGTTGCTCATTATACCTTTTTTGACCTAAGGTTTCAATCTGTGCAGCTTAAAAGTGAATAAGCAGCGGAATTGTATTGATTGAAAGCACTGAATCCTGTAAACAATTATCACAACGTCCGTGTCCAGGCTGCGTTATTAGAAAGTCTTAATGACGTTCAAATATTTAATCAGTCCAGGTTGTATGCTGCTCTGGATTCATGTTTACTGTTACTCTAACTGTTGTGTGCGTGCGTGCGTGCGTGAGAGAGAGAAAGAGCGAGCGAGCGAGAGAGACAGAATGTGTGTGCGTGCGTGCGTGCGTGCGTGCGTGCGTGCGTGCGTGTGTGTGTGTGTGTGTGGCTATACAAGTCCGGACTGATGCCGATTTCATAGTGCTTGCCACTGAAATACGGTGCCGCAGTTTAACATGAATTTCCCACTCACACATTATTAAGGCTCCAAGCCGACCAGTCATTAATGCCGTGCGCCAGGCAGGGTAACATCAAGTACCATCTTCGAAAGTCTTTTGGTAAGGCGAGGCCTGGGATCGAACCACGACCACGACATACAATCGAGCATGCCCTTTCCATGAATATTCCCAAAAGCGCCATGCAAATGTTATTCAAAAGTTGTTTGACCACGTGTTATAGCGTATGGACCTTAGTAAATATTCTAAAATGTTTTATGGCGGACAAGTGAAGGACGTTTTCAAATCCGACTCATCTGAGACCAAAAGTATGTCCGATGTTTCCTTATTTTGACGTGGACATATGTTTCCGTTACATAGTATGCGCACGTTTTTTACCGATTTAAGAATAACACAACACACTAACGTATATCAATTATGATATATTCTTATTGATAAACATTGTGGTGTTGCATAAGTTAAATGTGATAAAATTATTTTATAAAGGTTTTCCTGTATGATTCAATAGTAAGGTGAAAACATTTCGCGGTAGTTACATGTAACTTGTGCGCACAGTTCAATAACAATAATGCTGACACCCTTCGTGTTTCGTGAGAGTGAGTGAGTTAGTTGGGTTTAACGCGGCTTTTAACAGTATTCCAGTTATATCACGGCGTGTCAACCTGATGTGGGAGGAAAGCCCGAAGTGATGCAGGTCCCAGACTTTTACCAGACTGAAACCCACGAACACGGGTATGGTGCAGACAAACCTGGAAACATTATCGAGGCGAACCGGGATTCGAACCCACAATCATAGGTTTCTGGCGTGCCCAAGGGACTCAACTCTGCACAGCGAACCGCGGCGCCTTAGACGACTGGGCCACCCGTGCCCCTTCGTGTTTCGTGTGAACAGTTTAATAGAACCATAAAGATTTTAGAAGCACCTGCCTCACTGCTCTTAAAATTCACCAACGGTCATCCTAATTCTGAAACCCATTCGTAGGTAATATGAGGCATCCTCATGTCGAACACCAAGGTCATAGATAGGTAATACATGTTTTACACTACGCAACATCCTGATACCAAATAAGATAAGGTTTTTTTGGAAAATGATTACTACGATTCAATTTATGCTTCTGACAGCAGTGGACATGTAATTTTGAAGACTGGAAAACCTTCTCATTACTGTCGTCTTTATAGTGAACCTCCGTATATTCTTGTGCAGGTAAAGTTTAAAGCAGATTTTACAACGTCGCTGATATTTCCGCTGTCGCTTGGAGCTCTGACACTCAAGGCCGAAGTAGACATACAGCAAAGCATGATTTGAATATCAGCACTCTGTTAAAGGATTTGGAAAAAGGATTCTTTCAAAATACGATATCTCAACCAAAAATAATTGGTATACAGAGGTTATCACGCGAGTGTGTTTGGGGATGGTAAATATCCTGCATTAGGAATAAACATTGTATTTAGCGAGCCTTGGCGAGCTAAATACATAGTGTTTATTCCCAATGCAGGATATTTACCATCCCCAAACACACAAGCGTGATAACCTCTTTATCATATAATGTCATTCTTTAATTCTGTGCTTCAATATCGCCTTCCCTCTCTTACAAACATTACCGAAACGATCCAAGTTTTCAAGGAATGCGCGCATTAATATTTATTATGTCACAGGTAAGTGATGTGTCAGTCGGACAGTGACAGAAGTCAATATAGTTCCAACTGAAATCTGTTTCTTATACAGTGGTGAAGCAACATATACGCAAAACAACAATTGTTTAGAATTGCCTTTCGCGGCAATCCATCGGTCTGTCAAAGGGAAGCTACTCTAACCCTAGTCTATGAGACGTCACGAACACTTGTTGTTGACAGTCGGCCTGTCCTGTCATAACGTTAAGCAGTGTAGTCAGATGTACACACAGCGACAAAACGAAACAAGGTGACAATTCAAACATATCTCGGCCAAATCCAACTATTTTAATTTGTGGAGAAGGTTTCAAGCACAGATCTGGCTACTGATCCCGCTTGACTAGGCCTAGTGCCCTCGCAAAATTGTTTTGAAATTTATATCTCCAAAGTTGCCAAAACTTATAAAATGCCTTAGCTACGTCACAGTTGGACACTGGTTTTCAGTATATTAGACTGTTCTTTTGATAATGATAGCAATTATCCCTGTAGTTTATCCAGATTCCCGATGGTTATTTCTCACTCGATCGCCGAATGACGAGGGCGACGCCATGTTTGTTTATAAACAGTGAAAGTAGTCCCCACTTGACCTTTGATATTTGCATCTCTATCCGCATATGACCCCAACGGATATCGTTTTTATTCGTTGGCTTTATCCTGCCGAGAAACTTACTACCCATTATATGATAAAATATATTTATTCGGCATGACACACAGATTGATGCATCAAATTTTCACCAAGATTCTTTTATACGTTATTTTATCATGTGCATGTGCTCCTCGTGGTGGAGCCAGTTCTGATTATGATGAGCGGTCCCGTGCCCGCGTGTTATCAAACCAACAAGTCGTGCCACCAGCGCACCCAGGCGCAAACTTACCAATTTGAGCCCCTGGTTGGGAGCAGTAACGGACGAAATGACCATGGCAGTTCTGAGGAAGGCAGCGAGGAATCCGACATTAATTCCGGCAGTAGCATTGCACGTTTATACTTATTTCAGTCCATCGGAACATAGACATTGAGAATAGAATAGTCGACTATTGGTATATCGACTAGTCAACATAACTTGTAAATGACTGGCCAAATGAGGTCAACATCGAAAGACACTGGAATTTACAATAGAAGGGATGTCACTTATCTATCGTTGATGTTTCTAAACGCAAAAAGTACGATTTTCTTCAACTCGAAATTGTTACTTGAAAAATTAACATTTTCGTACATCCATGATGATTCATTTGAATTTGCGTTACTAATTTATAAAATGTCCCCAAGCGGCACGGGCTACCAGTTCACTGTACCCACTTTTCGTGACCATGCATTTCCGTACGTCCTCGTTTTGTTCAGTCGACCATTCTGATAACGTTAGGG